GTTCCTGTTGTCAGTTTCTATCCAGATTGCCTGAGTGAATGTCTGGAGGTGTAGGCACCTCGGAATGATTGTGTTAAGCTAGCACTAAGTCCCTCCCCCATCCACCTTTATTCTTTTCTTCACAATAAGGCTTTCAAAAAGTCATGGTTGTACGGCAGTGAAGCACCGGTGTTGAACACTGATGTCATGCTGTCAATGATGATGATGATGACTGTAAAACTTTGGATCACAAATGCTCCAGCTGGCAGACGTAAACCGCAAGTAGCGTCAAGGCGCGATGCCGAGGTAACTTTCTTGATAGCATTGGGACAAGATTTTACGCCACAGAAGACCTGCACCCCGAGATTTGTATCGGAATTGATTGCAGATGGAGCGTCCCAACTGACATGGGGTCTGAACGGGGCATTACCACCAGCTTGGTAGCAGTCAGTCCAAAGACACGGCGTACGCCTGTTTATAAGCGTTCAGCTGTAGCACTCTTCCGGTGCCTAGCTGCCATGCTACCCTAAGGAAGCACGAGGGCTGGGATACTGTCAGGTTGTCCAAGCCTAGACAGGAGAAGTCGAGAGGCGGAGGTCGGATTCGAACCACGGACCTTCCGGTCAGTAAATTCGCGCTCTAACCACTTGGGCCATTCCGCCCACAGTTTCATTCTTCTCTTCGATCTCCCTCTCCCTTGGTTTTCTGCCGGATTGCATACGGTGAACAGGATCTGTCGAGAAAGGTTACGAGTAAACTGGGTACAACCACACTTGAGTACACCTTTTATTCGGACCATCCTCCTCGCCTAAATCAGCTACATAGAAGTCCAACTTAAATTAGGCCGTGGTCTCGCTCTCGGACGCACACATTCAAACGCTGAATTTATAACGTTTTCATCTGGATGACCGTTTTGTTTCGCGTTCGCAAGTTGTCTAGACGGCTATTGCTGACAGACCAATTTGACCGAATCTTTGAGGAAGTAAAAACGAAAGCGGCAACGATATTGTTATCCGCTGAGACATGGAAACGGAGAAGGCATGAACGGAATTCGGATGTGTGGTCCACTAGCGCACAGCAATGTCAATTCATTTTCGCAAAAGCCTTATAATGGACAGGGGCGTCCTACTGTGAGCCTATAGGCATGCCGTTGACATAACATCTAAGTGTGAAGCTGTGGTCTACACAGTCCCTTGTATTATACTCTCGACCAGGATGAATACGTGTCCGAGCTTCAAGCAAATTTACTGTTGCTTGGATTTCAATGTTGGAGGTAGTTATGTCCAGCATCTTGCAGATTTACTGATGGCACTTTCCAATATGTCAACATCAGAAGACCCTTTCGGTGCCTTTCTGTCATGCCCCCGAAAGCACGAGGACTGATATACTGCCCGGTTACCAGAGCATAGACAGGAGCATTGGAGATGTCATATTTGGGTTCGGCCCGGGGACCTTTCGGTAAGCAAGTTCGTGCCAGTGATTTATCACGAGCTGTCAGAAGATTTATGTTCGACTTCACGTCGGGAAACGAGAGCTTCTCGATGACTCGCATTATTGGAGAGCACCGTTTGCCCGCCCGGCTTCGGTTGTTCAGAAGGCTAGTACTGAAAAATGCAGGCTCTGGTCAGCAAACGGCACCAGATGTTCGCAGTTAACCGTGGGCCTGGATTACAGTCCAAGACGATCACCTAAGTGAGCCTCATCATCGACAACTCTGCCTACTTGTGCATTCGTATCTCCGGAAACCACATATGAGCACTTAGCCCGCTGCAAAGCGCTCAAAGCGTCGTAAGAAATTGTCCGACAGTATCACAGCTAGACTGTTGGGGCGTAAACGGATACAATGAACAGGCGGATATAGTCGGGGCGTTTACGGGATACTCTCACAGACACCGCCAAACAGATTGCACAGAGGCGGCTGTTAACAGGTAGCCATTCAAACAGACACACTTCAGATCGCTGACTTAAAATAATACCAACATGAATCCGTGATTAACGGAACCAGATGCAGCGGCTTCAGAATAATTGGAGGTGAGCAACCGAAAGCGAGCGGAAACTAATGGGGCCATCAGTGCGACATCCGGGGT